GTTAATCCAGAAGAAGTGTTTCTCTGGACTCACTATGCTGACTCCCAGATTCCATTTCTGAAATGACAGATGGCAAAGTAAAAGATAAAAAAACACGTTTAGAGTGTCAGGATGTCAGGAAACCTTAGCATCCACAAGAGCAAACACAATCTCAACCATGCAATAACAATAAATCAGATCATTCAATAAATCCCTTTACTGAAAACTAACTAGATTTTTTTTTTCTCCCAGATTGTTACAGTTTCTCCAAAGTCTAAAAGTAGTGCTGTAGAAAGCAGCTTTTCTGTCAGGTGGAAATGTGCAATCTGGAGGCAGCAAGGCAGCAATTCCTTTAAATGGACCAGTCATGGTTTGGCTGCTGCTGCCTGCAACCAGAGCAAGTACTGGAGCTACAGCACATCTCTGAAAAGGACCATCGCTTCTAAGCTAAAAACAGAGTTACAATTACAACAGCGTATCAGGTAGATAGAAAAGAGGAGCACACTTCAGCCGAAAATTTTAAACTCAGAAATATTCTAGAAAAATGTGGAAATTTCTAAGTGTGAAAAGTCAAACATGTGCAAGAAAAAAATAAGATCTTTTGAGATTGATCTCAGAAATTTTCTAGAAAAACTTGGAAATTTCTGATACAAAAGTTGAAAATATTGGGTTTTTGGAAATTTTCTAAGACTCAAAAGATGAAAGTTTCTTTTTTGATGCAAGTTTACTCCTCTTTTTGTATACATATATCCTTAAAAGTCTTATTCAATATTTTTAATGATAGTTCAGAAACGGGATGACATTAAAACAAGGTATACATGGTAATGATTACAGTTACAGTCTAAAATGAACAGAAATAAATCTTTATTATTAAATAGTCTGCCAGAAGAGAAAAAATGTTTCATTTGTCAAAGTCGTATTTTTACCATGTTATTTATTCATTTAATAAATCTCGGTTTTAAAATAAATATGCAGATAGTAAGCTGAACATTTAGTTTGCCATATAAGTATTTAGCTCCAAATTAAATATTTAGAAAAATACTTAGTTAGCAAACTAAATATTTAGTAGAGATCATAAACTCAGTGTTTAGCTCTGAGACAAATGTTTAGCTTCAATCTAAAGATTTACTTGCTAACTAAATATTTAGTCTGAAACTGACATTTATAATTAAATGAACAACTTGGTGAAAATATGACTTTGAAAATGAACCATTTTATTCTCTTGACAGGCTCAATAACCCAAATTATTGCTGTTCATTTCTCACTGTAACTTTTCATTTTGTGTGTTGTGGTGGCACGCTGGAGGATCATTTATTGATCTGCTATTCATTCACATTCAAATTGGTCTCCTGGTCCATGCCACTTATTCCTCCAGGTTTTGATCAATGGCTGACTTTGTGCCGCCTCTGTGCGGTTATTGAGAAATAAGCCATGTGAAATAAGCCAGAGAAACGCTTCCAGGCAGCTCGCTGACAATGGCTGCTGGAGCATGAAACAAAAACCAGTCAAAGAATAATCACCACCTTCAGTTTTTGTTGCCACAAACTAAATGAGGGCCCCATTTACCTATACAACCCCTTCCAAATCACATAAATATAGGATTTCCACTCTCACAAGGGTTCAGATGATAAGTTATCCTGCTCTCCAAGAGGTAATTTAAGTCACTAAACATAAAAGCAAGTAAATGTGCTCATCAACTTCAAACTGAAGCGCTCATCTAGCTGAGAAGAATGCTCGCTCTGATAACGGCTGCTAAATTTCAAGAGTTTGCAATATTCCACCGGCTTATTGAACCGTTTTCTGTTTGCAGAGAAAATTGCTGATATAGGTTACAAATGCCTGCAGAGCGATAGAGACAACTGCGCTGATATCCCTGATTGCATTAACTGTGCCATCTGTGTAAGGAAAATTGGTAGAAGAGCTTTAAAATGTAGAGTAAATGGCAAACAGGGCTCCAGTATAATGTTATGAACTATTAAAGCAAAAGCGCAACAATGTCAGGGATGGACGAAGAGGCAAATGCAATGTGGATTCTACATAGAGCTTGTTTAACAAGAGAGAAAATTGCCTTTTATTTGTTCTCTCTTAGTTCTTCAGTAATTTAATTTGCTGTCATCACTGAATCCAGATTTCAAACAAATTCTGTGTTTTTTCAGGCTTTTAAAATCTTGTGATTTCTTTAAACAGAAAATGACAAAGAATACCTTTTGGAGCCCAACTGATCTGTGTAAAAACATACAAAGAAAAGGAGACTGAAACTGCATAAAGGTTTGGGAACAGTAGAATCCCAGGAGTGGTTTTAGCATAGTTCAAAGAAAAAACTCATCAAAAATACAATAAAAAAATAAAATAAAAATCATCAAACTTTAATAAGTATAGAATCTGTATCAGCAATACAGATATCAAAACTGTATTTCTGTATTGGACCAATGCTCAAATATACAGCTTTTCACACTTCTGGTTTCAGAAGTTTCTGTCACAAAACAATTAAAGTTAGCTCTTACTAATTGTTGTGTAGAAACTCAAATATTCAATAAAGAGACTAATTCTTTCACAAAAGTTTACTCTGGATTGTATTCAGCCTGTGGTAAGATTGTGCTGTTGTATTTTGTCACAAAAATAATAATTAAAAAATCCATGGAAGAGGATCTGACAGTGATGACAAAACTGGAGGCAGAAGCTGCGTCTCCATTGACCTTATAAATGTGCAATTTAACATTTCGAAAATAAGTTCGCTCAACAAAAACATGGCAATTTCATGAAATTCTTTTGCTAAAAAAGCTTTGGTGCTAGCATGACGTGGTTTTTCTGGCTGTATCAAAACTTGTTTATTTTGCAAAACTGCAATGGAAACTTTTTTTGTATCACACAAGTCACATGATCAACAACAGGACGTTGCCGCTGGTGCAAACCACGAGGAAGACAACAGAAAGTGGTTAGAGGATGATGGAGCGGCATGTGTCTTATTGATTATTGAGCAAACTTCAGTTTAATTTTAATTACGTTTCTTATGTAATGGAAACAACAGTTGCAAAATTGTGGTTTTTGACATTAGTGGAATATTTAATACATTTTGATAGATAGGGTGAAATTATTGGTAAAAGAAACAGAGTATCCCAGATAGCACACGATGTTAAATCAACGTTGAAAAATAGTTAGAATCGTTGATTTTTGGTTGAAATCGACAAATGATGGTGGATCAACCATCAAACAACCATCCAATCAAACCGTTGAAACTGTGTCATTGAATCAACGTTGTTTGGTGGTTGAAATCTGATGACTGAAATGCCGAAGTCTGATTAATGGTTGATTTTTGGTTGAAGTCGACAAATGACGGAGGATCAACCATCAAACAACCATCCAGCTCTAGCCAATTAACTAACGTTGAAACTGTGTCATTGAATCAATGTTGTTTTGTGGTTGAAATCTAATGACTGAAATGCCGATGTCTGATCAACATCTGATCAATGTTGAATCAATGTCAGCTGTTTTGCTGCACCCCTTCCACTCCTCTCCTCCTCATCAGAGCTCTGGGTCAGAGCATTTTATTACTGAGCGGGGGTTATCACATTTAAATTAAGCACTGTAGAGGATAGTGGGTGCTGATTCCTTTCTGTACATTTTCTTTCTTGTTCATAACAATTCTCACTGACTCTTTGCGTGGGATATATTGACACAAAAACATCTACAACTTCTAAAAGGAGTGGAGGGGTCCACCCCCACCGTTTACATGAGTGGGATGTCCCAACCACACAGCTGCTTCGCTGTTGGCTTGTTGGAAAATATGTTAATTCAATGTTGAATTATTATCACAAAGGTTGCATGTATAGTTGAGGTTGACAACTGACGGTGGATCAATCATCCAACAATCATCCAACTCTAGCCAATTAACTAACGTTGAAACTGTGTCATTGAATCAATGTTGTTTTGTGGGTGACATCAAATAAATGAAATGTCAATGTCAAATCCAGTGTGTTTCTGCACTGGTCCTCCAGGCCCTACAAGTTTTAGGCATTTCCCTAATTCAGCACACATGATATTAATTGACGTCTGATTAACAGGGTTTTGCTGAACTGAAAAAACGCAGGTCAGTTTGATTGACGTCAAGGTTTGGGGGAGAACTACTCAGATAGCACACGATGTTAATTTAATGTTGAATTATGATCATAAAGGCTGCATGTATGGTTCAGGTCAACGACAGAAGCTGGATCAACCATCAAACAACCATTCAATTCTAGCCAATTAACATCCACTGATTGAAATGCCAACATCAAATCCAGTGTTTTTCAGCACCTGTCCACCAGGCACACTGCCCTGCAAGTTTTAGGCATTTCCCTAATTCAGAACACATGATTTTAATTGACATCTGATTAACAGGGTTTTGCTGAACTGAAAACACGCAGGTCAGTTTGCCTTGAGGATAAGGTTTGGGGAAGAACTAGTAATCTAAATGTTCAATCAATGCAAGCTGTTTTTTGCACCCCTCCACCACCTGCCATTCAAACACCCAACCCCCTTCCCTCCACCCACCAAAGACACACACACACCCCTTTCCCCCCACCACCCACCACTAACTAACTTCATGGACTCTGTTCTTCTGGAGACAACAGACTGTTGTTTTGACAGTCAAAAAGGAGTCAAATATGTTTAAAGATCTGTCCCTCTTTTCTTAAATAAAATGTTATATCAAACCCATGTTGTCATTTTTAACCTTTTGTACACAGTTTACCCATCATCTGCCAATAATATAGTGTGTTTAACACCAGTGAAGAAACTTTTAGTGGCATGTTAGGAAGAAGACCTATCAGACCTAAAAATTTACATAAATCCTTACCTTTCATTCAATATAAAATCAACCCAAATCTACATGTACATCCACAGTCAAATGAGTGTTGAATCAACATTGATTCAATGTAGAATCAACCGAAATCTGCATGCAGATCCACGTTCAGATGATGGTTGAATCACCATTGATTCCTAACTTATTCAATGTAGAATCAACACAAATATGCATGCAGATCCACGTTCAGATGATGGTTGAATCAAAGTTGATTCCTAACCTATTCAATGTAGAATCAACACAAATATGCATGCAGATCCACAGTCAAATATGTGTTGAATCAACACTGATTCAATGTAAAATCAACACAAATATGCATGCAGATCCATGTTCAGATGAAGGTTGAATCAAAATTGATTCCTAACCTATTCAATGAAGAATCAACATGTATCTGCATTCAGATCCACGTTCAGATGAAGGTTGAATAAAAGTTGATTCTTAAGTGATTCAACGTAAAATCAGCCCAAATCTGCATGCAGATCCACATTCAGATGATGGTTGAATCAACGTTGATTCCTAACCTATTCAATGTAGAATCAACACAAATATGCATGCAGATCCACAGTCAAATATGGTTGAATCAAAGTTGATTCCTAACCTATTCAATGTAGAATCAACACAAATATGCATGCAGATCCACGTTCAGATGATGGTTGAATCAAAGTTGATTCCTAACCTATTCAATGTAGAATCAACACAAATATGCATGCAGATCCACGTTCAGATGATGGTTGAATCAAAGTTGATTCCT